TTATACACCTCAGGGAGTTAGGAACGAAGACTCATAAAGGGCCATTCACAACGAAAACTGTAATGTAGACGTGAGGACATAAACATGTGCTTATTATATAAACATAGACGAACCTTTCACAAGATCTTCAACGTAAGCACAGCTACTCGTCGATTTCGATAAAATAAATACTCTGCACAAACGTCTATTATTATTTCGGGTACCATGAGCGCCGCAATTGATTCTCTGGAAGTGAATAAGGCGTTCTTGTAGCTATTCTGAATGCATGTAGCCTATCGTGTGTATATCTAGCACAGGCTAGCTACTTACATTATTTTTTGTACACGTTTTACAAAATAGTAATATTCGTTCCTTAAATTTAAGTTGTATGTTTACCTAGTTGAAGTTTTTGAACTTGTCATTCATCTTAAACATAAAATCTACAGATTGATTTATTCATGTAATCTAGGTCTTAATATTAAATCTGCATATCATTGTACGTACACGTTTTTTTTAAAAATATTGGTACTTATCGCTTAACGTTTTATATACCGTTTGAGTTTTGCATATCATGACTTTAATAATAGTAGGAGAAAAGGTGCTGTTGCAATTAGAAAGGAATATTTAATTATTTACTTTAATGCTTATAATAACATCCACATTTTCTTCTTATATATTGGTAACGTTCCCGACGTCACTCCAGTAAAAGTTCCATTATCGTAGATGTTGTTGTTTGCACGACAACTATGTTTTTGGATGGTGCATCTTCGCCTACTATAGTGGATAATATTGAATACAGAGCAATACTCAAACACAAGGTTTGTGTTTTGCTACACAAATGTTCTTCGGACACATTAGGGGTCTGGCTCTTGTCCATTATAAGTTTATTTCAGGGCTTTCTGTAACAAAAGAAATGAATGTGCAAATCCTTCGTCGCCTCAGGGTCGCGTTAAGAAGGAAGCGTCCGTAAAAATGAGCAGAAAACATCTGGTTTCTTTTACATAAAATGTTTCATTACATAAAACTTTTGGTTAAAAAAATTACCTTGCCAGGCACAATGTTCCAGGATTTGAGGACCATTCTCTCCAGATCGGTCACCAGCTTTTTTATTTTTGTTTGTTTGTTGTCGTTTTTTGCACAGATGGATGAATTGCATTTGAAGGGGTAAAAATTCACATACACCAAAGACGTTCTTGTAAATACGGCAAGAGTACTACGAAAGGTATCACAAAATGGCCTCCAAGAATGCTAGCAGAAGTGTGTGACTGCAGAAGGTAACCGTTTTGAAAGAAATGCTTATTCTTAAATTGCGTGACACCACTCGCCATGTATAGCGCCAAGAAGCACAGCCTGGAGAGACCGACTGACGTAGCTCGGAGGAATAACTGTTACAACTTCAGTGTCTCTGATCTGGAGGATCTAGTTTTCGAGACTCGACGGAACAGAATTTTCGACTTTAAAAAGAGATCTAGGTGGAATTCACCCACTGTCTGTACGAAAATTCAAAAGGCTGTCTGCCATCGATAGTGCCTTGTGGTGCCTATTATCAGTACCAGGCGAAAGCCTCGCCATATAAGAAAAGGGCCACGTACCAGGCGCGATTTTTCCTTCCTCATTCTTGTCTCCACCGTTCCCCTTAACAGATACCCAAAATACTACTACCCTTGTGAGGAAACCTGGAGGGTGCTTAGAGCTTGTACAGGCTGAGATGGTATTCCACTAGTGAAGACACTTGGAAAATCCCGGAAGCCGATGTGTGAGTCGCCGCCGGATCTCACGTTCCAGGGGAGAGGAACACCACCTCACAGAATATAACATACACTACATGTACGGGAATAATCATAGCAGTTAATGCATCTGGAAATAAAATAATCAATCAACCCGCCCGGACACCTTCCCATGCTCAGAAAAGTCAAAGACTTCCAAAAGGTACAGACAAGAGCCTTCCTCATAACCGTCTTCTACTCAGTGCACTAAGTAACATTTTGACCGAACTGAGTAAGTTATATATTATTTTCAGCTATCAAACACTGCCACTTACATCCTTGATGCTCTAAAATATATAGTTGGTAATGATTTTTTGTGTAGAAATTCACATCCACGTACACAGAAAATTCATCCAATGTTTTCAATACAGTACCGAAACTAATGGTGCTACAACACATACAAAACTACTTATGTTTTTGAAACATTGCACATGAATTTAATTAAAGATTTGTATTTGAAGAACAGATTGGGGTAAGGAAGAAGTCCCTATCTTCAATACTGTAGTTGTAGGAAGACGCCAAAAAACTGATTTTTTTCCAATTTTCAAAAAATCAGGGGTTTTGACGAAAATGAAACCTTCCTTTAAGCGTCTCTTGCAATATTCGATGGCAATGTTTAACGTTTAAAAAAATCAGCCTCTTTTTTTGAGGAAATTTAGAACAGTGGAGGTTGTATGTAACGTACCTACAAAATCAAAATATCTTTTTTCACACATACAAGATTTTGAGTTCCTTAAAATCGATAAAGGAATATTACTTTTGGAGAAAATGTTTGGAAAGGTTTATGCGCTAGCGTTGATCACGGAGGGACGGACGGACAGATGGCCATTTTCGTATCAATCGATTTCTCTGTATCAAGAACTAAGAAAACATGCATTCTGATTACACAACGACGTACAGGAAGCAATTTATTATATTCATGAACAAGATTTATCCACTTTTTCGTTATCAGACAATACGTTCTTCTGTTCGAATACTACCGTTTGTTGCGAAAGATCGCAGTTCTTTCCCTTCTTACGAAGTAAGGTGTGAAAGTAAAAATTATACCTTAGCAGAGCCGGAAGATTATGTCTGGCTTTCATTACAAAGAGATGCTCTGTTTACGTGTGTTCATAATAACAACTACGCTGCTGTTGGGGAGTTTCAGAAAAGCTGCCATTGAATGAGGACTTTCAACACGTGACGGACCAAATGAAATGCAAAGGCCATGATTCTTCCATTGGTGTCACTCTTAAACACTTTTGACTCCCAAAAACACGTTCAACGATTCTCTGTTATGCTCTTGTGAATGCAACAACTGATTTGTCACATTCAATCAACGTCAACGGCAGAGAAACGAACTTGACACGGTTTAAGTTCTGTCATTATTCCTACCGACACGTAATGTCTCCATATACTTGTACTACCTGTGTATGGGCATTGTAGTTCGTTCAAATGCAAATATATCAGTAGTCTGCATAAGTTAAATAAGATGTCACAGGTATATACTGTTATTAATAAAAGAATAATAATTACAAATTTAAAGTGGGCTAGATGACATGTAGCCACTGAAGTACAGACCAACATCGAGGTGGGAGCTTCGAATTCAGTTACTGTCTGAGGCGTGATCTCCTTGTCAGAGTGGTGTGGAAGCAACAGAAAATTGTTGCGTACCTTACTGAAGCACATTGATTCATCACTTACTAATTGCTCCAATATCATGTAATTGGTAGGAAGCTGACTCATCAGCGCGAAAGGATACATGATAACACCATTGATATCATTAACTTTTACTTATCTTACAATAACAATGAAATCGACAGTGGTTGTGTAGCTCCGAAATTCTAGCTCCGACAATGGCAAATGTTTCACGTCATTGCTGGAACGTTGGCGGAATAGGATAGGAGATCTTTGATTTATTTAGTCGGAGAACTGTCAAAACTGTATGTGACGTATGGCGGAGTAGTAACAGAAGATGATGGAAATTTGAAGAACAAATCAATTATTACATAAATTGTTGGTTAACTCCTAGCCAATTATTAATAACGTATATTACGTGTACATACAGTACAATACACACGGCTAAAATGGTCTGTTATCATTATCATTATTCTTTGATATTTATTTTAAGTAGTTCAGGAAAAGGTAGTGTTCGAAGCTGAGTGGCATGTAATGAAGACACAAAATCAAATGAACACGGACATAATATTATAGATTAAGAGAGATGATAAATGTAGTGTATACAATTTTAGCATTGTTCTACAGTCGCATGTTCTCTTATTTGTTTGCAATATTTTCAGAGCAAAGAAAAGATAAGCAGAGTTTTCGCCGTTTATTTATGGTACGGTTATGTGGCAGTGTATACATATTTTTACATACATTTACATACTCTCCCACAAGATCCTCTACTTCTATTGATAGATGTGATAGAAATGATGACTTCCAACTCGATTATGGTTTCTACAGTGTGTCAGCAAACATGCCTAAATAGTGCTTAGCTTCTGGGAGATAATTTACTCACTCCTAATTGTTTCTTTGATGGTCACTGTGCCCAAACTTATCACCAAACCTCACAATTACTCTGAGATTCTAATTGACGCCATTCATCAGGATTGTTAAGTTTATTATTGTTGTTAATTTTATATTTTGGGTGCCATTTAATTATGATACAGTACAGATTTCAAAACGTTAGTTTCTGTGTATTTTGTTCTGTAATATTAATTTTAGTTACGCAAATAATATTGTATAATCTGCACTCATTCCACTAATTATTATTATTATTATTATTATTATTATTATTATTATTATTATTATTATTATTTGCGTATGGGCCATTTTTGAATACGCTACACCTTGTCTTCCGACACCCAGTCATATTCTATCCCGGAGAGAGATTAGCGTGTGTCGTTATGGGGATCAGCTTTCAGCCCTCGGTAAAACAAGATTGATAAGCCTTGAATTATGAGGTGAGAGGATGATGATGAGAGATGAATCTGGCGTTTGTGAACTATCATAGCATTCGCCTGTATGGCCGAGAGAAACTACGATAATCCTGGTCAGGATGGCTGACCAGGGAATCGAACCTTGAAATGCTGATTCCCCCTATATAGAAAAGTAACGTTCACCTACCCCGATTATGAAATCTTAGCCGCGGTGGGATGGACCTATCGCTTGGCCCCATGATGGACAAGTCGCAAAACAACAACAACAACAACAATAATAATAATAATAATAATAATAATAATAATAATAATAATAATAATAATAAATCTACAGCTACAAGACTACGTGCGTCTTCCTGGCACTCGGCTTCCACCACGCCGCCTTCGCAAGGAGCCCCTCTTGTTTTCTCCGTGTGCTGCGAAGATGACAAATGCATCGAGGAGGAGTGCGTGGGGGCGGCGGGCGGCGTGGGGGAGGCCATTAGTTGCGTGGTAAACAGTGTGAGGTCCTGCTGTGCCGAACCGCGGCGAGACCCTGCACGCAACGCGGTGCGGCGCGGAGGAATTTGGTTATGTTTATGGAAAAGGTGAGCTCCTCCTGGGGATGTGTTGCTGGTACTACTGATGTAAGCACTGGGAATGATACAGCCAACAAGATGCGCTGTTGTGAAACAGTAAAAAGGTAACGCTTTCATTTTCTGGGAGCTGATGGTGCCCGGAAAGGAATAGTTCGGAAACGAAGTTAGTGTTAAAAGCGACGTACACTGCACACTGAGCCCAATGTATGTTGGGACAAGTAGTATGAACGAGGTGTAATTACCTGCTAAGTGAGAAAAATGTTAACAACAATTCAGGCTAGCGGAATAAGTATTATATTGTGTAAATGAAATGCTTGGCGCTGTGACACTATAAACCCCAGTACCAACAGGACCATCTCCGCTACTCGTAATTGTTAATATTTATATTTTTGATGAAATGTAACTTACCTTTGTGGAGTCCAATACCCCCATAAAATGAACATGGCTTGTATAAAAACAATACAAGCTTTACAATAACCATAATCGAGATATTGGCTTCCTGTGGTCGTAATCATATTACCTGCGATAGGTGTGACTTATCTTGATGCTGCTCCATGATCTCCACGGCTAAAACAAGGAATATGCTTTTTTTTCTCAGTATTTGTATTGTAGTTTTATTCAGTATTAGTATTCTTCTGAGTCAATGCCCTCAGCTTCATCGTACTTTTCAATTTTTTCAGATATTGCTTTTTCAAAAAATGCTAATCTTGTTATTTTTAAACTTTATTTTTAAAATTTATTTATGCTACACCTTTACTCATCTTTCAACTATTTATAGTTAAAATGACGGGAAGTGATTCTGGAACTCAAGAAAACGTACGCAGATAATCTTCTCCCCATACGTCACATACAGTTTTTACTGTTTTTTGACTAAATAAATCTAAACTTTCACGTTTCCTTGATCTATAGAGATGAGATGGTCTGCGGAGTATTTAGAGTGATGTCATAGTGTACCTTGTACTTTAGATAGTCCCTTAATTTAACTTTCTCGACTATTACGTATTTATATAGTAAAAAGAAAGTATTGTAATGCTGCGGCATAAATCAGCAATTTTTTGACAGAAAAAGTCGTATTGTGAGGACCTGGTTACGAAAAAGTAGATAAATCTTCTTCACATATGAAGTAAATTACTTTCTCTAACACATTGCATAGTCAGTTGCATCCACGTTTTGTGGGTTCTTCATACCAAACATTTTATTGATGGCAAAACGTATGTGTGTCTGTCCGTCCGTGGCCATCGCTAGCGCCTAAACCATTAAGACGATTTTTCCGTAATTGAAATTCTCAGATTGATTTAAATAATCTCAAAATTCTCTGAGTTTGAAATTGATCTTCGGATTTTGGGTACTTAACACCAAGCCTCAACATGTTCAAAATTGCCTAAAAAATTGTTCCCAAATGTTTTATTAACATTTTTTACCAGCTGACGTGGCGAACGCTTAAAAAATTAGGACTCATTTTCGTTGAAATCTCTGCATTGTTGTTCAATCTTTCAAAGGTTCAATATTTTGCATGAAAAAAGGCAAGTTTTTAAACAATTAAAACCTGATCCCAATTTCTCTTTTTTTCTTTGGGCACAGCTTAAAACTGAAGAATTTGGGCAGGCACTACAATCAGGCAACTCTTTATTTTCAGTATTGCACACATGCAACTTTGCACAAGTAAAAATATTGATAAAGGATTTTTCTTAAATGAAATTGCTGAAATGAAAGTTAAATCTTTAGGTAAAGCCACCAACAAAAATTTTCTCTCAAAAGCATCTCGAATTACTTTGCTCGGATCGAGTGAGGGATACTTAAAGAAATTGTGCAAGTCTCATTTTCTTTGAACTCTTTGAATTTTCGAAAGTTTAGAACAGAAAAAATGCGTGGAAGTATGCATTGGTGTAGTACCACTAGTTTTCTGTTGAATTTGGGGAATCAAATGCTGTTGTTTAGTGCACAGTTATATTATGAAAGAGAAAAACACGCAGTCGGATACTTTTTGTGATAATACTCTAAAGTCGGACCCGTGTTTTATTATTACACTGAATATTTTTATCTGTGTTTTTCATTGACGTAACAGTAAATGTATTTATTTAATTGTAGTTCTCATATTGATTATTTTTCCATTGTATTCAAAGTGCAAAATTCAAATACCCAAATTTAGAGTTTGAGAGCAAATCTCTATATTTGAAATCGGTCAGAGGTTTCTCTCTTATAACATCATTTTAATTCTCTTTAAAATATCGTTTCATACATATCACCTGCTCAATAGCTATTGGGAGGTCTTGGATTTCAGAATTTTCTATTATTACATTCCATGTCGTCTAAACAAAAAATAATACTGTAGAGAAAAAATGTTATTGGAAATTAAAGCATATTCGCTATACAGGGTCAATCACTGATGGAATTTTAAGTTACATTTCGAATTATTTTTTATAGCATAATCCTTCTATTCTATTCCTATTCTAAACTATTGTATTCTAACATTTCTATTTCTATTCTAAACCAATCAAGAACATCCTATAATTAGTCAACTCGTATTTCGTTCCCCTTTCAGACCAGTATAAAATTATTGGGACGAATGTGAAAGCAGCTGAACGTCTCCACGCCAAAAGCATTCATCCAACAGATAAACGTCATCTTGAATTAATTTCACCTTTGCAGCGTCTCTCTAAGCCCTTTTAGGGTATTAAGCGCTTGTAGTAATTCTCCTTGAAAACCATTTTAATGTAGCCATCGTCAGTCGTCAGTCATTACTTTTCACCCTTCAGTTGAGGCTCGACGCCGTTAGATTCCGGGGTTCATAAATGGTCGTGTAAACATGTAAATGCGACTTCTCGAATTCGCTTTACATCATCGCTGATTTCATGTAGTGAAGGAATTCTGCTAGCGGCGCCGCTTATGAGCATTTGCATCGCATACGCAAGCACAAATGCTTTGCAGCATTGGTATAAGTTGGTTAGTTAACTTTCTTCTGAATTTTAGCAAGTGGGATCAGCGTTATCAATGTTTTCGTAATGTCTTACTATGTTTGTGTTACAAACATAAGAGTTCTTTATTAGAATCCAAATGTGCATGGTAAGACTAATGGTGTCATTTAGATAATTGTGCAAAGTTATGTGTCTGAATTTGGACGAGTTGCCGGAATTGGACGACAGAGCGTCGCCTTCATTGAAGCGATACGATTGGACTTAACGGTTTAAGAAGACGATTGACACGTTATCTCCATTTCCTAAAGCGTTTCAGATATCAGCTACTAGAAGAAGCGGAAATCATAAATGACATGAACGCGCAGTCGATACAAACAACTGGAACAAAGGCAAAGCAAAATATTTCAGAAAAATAGAAATACAAAGTTAAATTTCTGGTACAAGGCTGCAAAAAGTGTGGTGATTGGGTTAAATCTAGCTTGTTATGTATAATATGTAGTAAGAAAAGGAGTAACATACGATCTAGTTTCTAGGTCTGGAATGTAGATTGTGGGTTCACATAGACGATGTTCGGGTAATAAGGAATACCGTTTTTATTTGTAAGAATTACTTTGTAACCAAACTGTTTAGAGCACAAATATGAAATTATCCCAAAATTCAATTGTTTTCCAACTAAAAATTTGTTTTACTAATTTAAAAACAGTTTTTAATAGCAATATTTTTAACATTGCAGTTACAGTGTAATATGCAATAGTCGGGCAATATGGAATAGGAATTTCAAAATTACAAAAACGAAAAATGTTCATTAAAACTATGAAATTATAACTTGACATTATAAAATGAAAATTTTAATAAAATTAAAAGTTTTCAATAGTTTACCTTCAAAAATCACACATGTAATCTTCCAGCTCATCTCCAGAACAATCAGGGTGGGCCCACAGAGAACAGGATAAACATTTCACCCAAACCTCTCCCCGTCTACCGTCAGAAAACTTCCCATTGCTGAAGGTACATACTGCATCATCATTGTCTGGTACTAAGGATGGTATGAACTCCAACTCAAATGATACACTGGAATGGAATGACCTCGAATTCCGTGTAGCACGATATGCCATTTTCAAATAGCGTATATACTAAACGTGAAGAACTGCAAGCCACAAGCATGTAAGCTAGTGGAGGATGTAAGCTACAAGGATGTAAGCTACAAGGATGTAA